TATGTGGTGTTGCAGTTAGGACGATTCCCTCCATGATTTCCGGAATTGCTGATTTTAACGAAATAATTGTAACAGTATTTAAGATTTGGTAGGGCATTTGGAATTGGGGGAAATGATCACTTCCTAATCGAAATCTATTCTATGTTAATCATTTCACAAAACAAACATGGGTGTGAATTTTCTGGTAAAAATAGTGCTTTTCGTTTTGTGTAAATTTTGATTCTAGGAGTGACAAAAAATTAGGGCAATCGTTACCGTTACAGTGATAATAAGTATTACATGCAGTAAGTTGCATGTCCCCCCCTTTTTTTTTACTTTAACAAGTTCTGGCATTGAGTCTATAAAGTAAAGGATTTTCTCAAATGTAATAGTATTCCATGTGGCAAATATGGCTTCCTTCAAATAGGCTTCTTTCTGTAATTTTTTAGTTCTTACGAACATATTTTCAATTGGACTGGCAATTTTGTTGGCCACGCCATTGTCGTAATTCCAAGGTTATTTTTTAAGCTCCTTTATATGTTTGCTTTTGTAAATTTGTGCATTATTCTCTTGAAATATTACCTCTTCTGCAACCATAACCTTAGATAAATTATATTTAAAATAATATTTCCATATTTTTCACCATTCATTATAGGATTTTTGTCTACTTTTAACGGTTGCTTGTGTGCAATCTGAATCATAAGGCTCATCATTATGATACAAACATGAACTTTTCCATATGAATTAGTGCCGATAGAGAATCCGTCATCCAAAGAATGCATCATCAATCTTCTTTGGTCCAATTTTTGCCAGTTTAATCATTTGTTTCGTTAATCCATGGTTTTTACATGCAATATGGGATTTGATATAATTTTTCTTTAAAATTCTTGTCAGAGTACGTGGAGATATAACATTAGATAATATTTTAATAGCAAGCAGATGTTTTGACATTCTTCTCATCGTCTGATTTACTTTAATTTTTCAAAGAATTAAACGTTCATAACGTTCATCAACAACTGATTTTTGACCACTATTTTTTCTTTTCAAATATCCACAACTTTGGGCCAATTTTTTTGTTTAATACAGTTTTTGACATTAATGGCTGGTCATTCAATACATTAGTTAGATCTTTATTTGCGACCATTTGTACATACAATTTAAGTTTTCAATTTTAAATGGTGAATTGAACAAACCGAACACCTTTAGTAACAGACAAAGACATGAAAGTTCAATTTAATGTGGTTGTTATATTGCTATCTTATTAAAACACTTTAATTTTTTTTCACCCTTCTATATACATGTATTTTGTGAAATAGTGAATCATTATTTTCGCGCGTCAATTTCCGATTCTTTTGTCCCGCTGTATTTACAGAATATGAACACGCATAAATCACATATACATTTATATATAATATCACAACGAATGCCGTGGTTCACTGACTGAATTTATTTATATTCATTACATACAGTTCTTCTCTATGCAACGAATGTATTTTTAAAGAATTTCCTCTTGTAACAAATAGGTGCTGCTGTTAAAAAATGATGTACATGTAATAAATTTGCAGTAAAATTCAATCAGCAAAAATTCGTTACATCGAGAATGATTGTTATGCAACAAGCAAAACTAATTTTCTATAGCAAATATGTTAATACGGTCTACTAATATAAAGGTATTGAAATTCGTAACAACACGGAGATTTACAATATGAAAAATTGCGATTGATTACTGTGCAAGGTTGTACACATGCCAAAAATTTATTAATGTACATTTACATGTAATACATGTACACGTACATGGTTGCTGCTAATTTTAAAGATCGCCTTTCAAATAGTCATATTAAGCGGAACGCTTAAAGAATGAAAAATTATTAACTCTTGTTTAGAAGAAATATGTTAAATAATTTTTGGGACCCCAGGACCCAAAAATATTGTAAATCGTCTTACTTTTACCTGTTGATATTCCCTCAATGACAAAATATTCGTATCTCGCCAATTTTTTTGCTTTCCGTGAGCGACTGTATCTAAAACTGGATTTACATCAGGAAATTTAAATCTGGTTACAAAATTGGTTAAGCTTCTTGCATGTAAAACGTGTCCCATGCATTAAATAGAAGCTTGTAAATGCACAATTTTATTCCAAGTAGAAAGGGATAAATAAAGAAAATATCTAAATTAGTTGAGGAATGCCAAATCAAATGATCGTATATAGCTAACTCCATTCCATAGGCAGGGTCATTCTAAAACCGGATTTACATGTATATCAAATCATGGTTCCAATGTAGAACTGTAAGGCAACAAGTTTTATTATCGTTATAGATAGAAATGGATAAAGAAAATATCTAATATCCAGATTTAATTGGTGCATTTCAGTAACTGACGTATATAGTTATTCCATAGGCAAAAATTTGTAATATGTAAATTTTTTTCAGAAACATTTAAAAAACTTGAATTTTTTTTTAGTAATCCAGAAACATTTAAAACAGGAATTCTGCCTAAAGATTTCCCAAAACATACTCAAATAAAATAGGAAGAATGAGAAGAAAAGAAAAACTTGTTTATCTTATTGAATGAAGGATTCCAAATATTAAATGGATTATTGTCATGATGCACCAGCATGAGACCTCGGTACTTGAATTTTGAACCTTTTTTACTATATTTATCGTTTGCTTAGATTTTAATGATAGATATAAATAGTAACAGTAATGAATAAAACCAAAATTAGCCTAGAATAAAGGTAAATAAACGAGATCTAAACAAAATTTTTGTAGTAAAACTAGTAACCCAAAATATTAATGAATTAAATTGTCTTACCTTTACCTGTTCGTATCTCGCCAATTTTTTTGGCTTTCCGTAAGAAACTGTATATAAAACCGGATTTAATTCAAGAAAATTAAATCTGGTTCCAATGTAGAACGGTTTATTGCATGAAAATTGGTTTAAGCTCTTACATGTCCTATGCATTAAATAGAAATTGTAAAAGCCACAATATTCCCTATAAGTAAAAACTAATCTAAGATCCAGATTTAATTGGTGCATTTCAAGTAGTCATTAAATCAACTTTCTGGATGCCTCCACAACTTTATTTATAAGTATATCTTAGATCAGGAATGGCAATTGGCTTGCATGTAAAATGTGTCCTAAATAGATTTTGTGATTAACATCAAAATTATATTTGTGTTTTTCGTTTTGGCTATCTTGGGAAATTTCATTCTTTTTCGTCTTTTTAGATTGAAAGCCCCAACTTTATTAGAGATAAAAAATCTACGATCCGGATTTAACTGGCGCATTTCAAATAGTCATTAAACCGGTAACAGACACATATAGCTATTGCAAAAATTGTAGATGTTCATGCATCTCTTAAAGCTCAAGAAAAACATGTTTACCTCTTGAATAAGTATTATTGTCGTGCATTATTATGGTAAAGCATCAAATCCCAAATATGAATAGGACAATAAGACTGCGCTTAAATTTCAATGGTCCATCTAATCAGAAATCGATCCAAACCTTCTTGCAACATATTCAACGTTGGTAAATCTTTCAAAGAAATCTATTTAAATATATTTTTATATTTAAAAATAATTTGTTACAGCCCGTTTGATGTTTAATAATAAAATACGAACTTCAATTAAAAAATTCTCTTTAGATTATAGTCAGCTTCAGATACATAAACTTTTTATTTGAGAAGATAATAGTGGATAAATTAAAAATAGAAAAATAAGTACATGTTCACTGGACGTTAGTTAAAATCATACAATTCACACTCGACATAGTGGAGAATGAGTTTTCACTTGTTGTATAATTAGTTTTACATTATTCTTTCAATTATGGCTATAAAGAGTGGAGTGAGTTATTCATTTTGATGACATCAATATAATTCTCAGTAACGATTTGTTTCCCGCAACACATATTTTTCGCTGATTTGTTCAATTATCTGAGTTGAGATAGCGAGAATGTGATACATGTAATAACCTATCTTATAATTTGTATTTTAGCTATTTATCAGAGCATATATGGGATAATTTATTCATGTAAGCATACTGATATATCGAACTCGGATCTTTATTATATAATATTTGTATAGACTATTTAGTCGAAAAAAAAATATAAAAAGAAATCATCCACAGGAGTATTTATTTAATATCTCTTCATGAGAATATTCCACTCTTGCTCACATTCACTCACATATCCATTTTTCCTGATTAATGACCAATAAACCCAATGTTTAGTTGTTTTTAATCGTGAGTATTCTTTTACTGTTTATTTTTTCGGGTTCTTATTAGTGTACTGTGTTCATCTTTTTCATCTTTTAGAACAGAAATCCCCATTGTGCTGGCTAGGTTCTGCTTGGAGTTGGTAATCTTTTGAAGCCGGTACATCATTTAATATCGTACGCTTTTAATATTTAAATATTATGGTAGAATATCTTTATTGTTGATAAGAAAAAAACTTAATGTCTTGCACGAGTCCATCGCCTCTGCTTTCTTATCCTCTAAGCATCACGTTCATAAGCGGCTTTACGAGTCCAGATACCTATTATGTTAATTCCATAACCTTTACTTTGCTCTTCTTAGTACAAACTGAGAATTGTGCCAATTTTTTTCTCATTGCATTTCAATAAATATTTTTATAAAATTAATTTTATTTTATTTATTTACTATATTTTTTAATATAATATTTTATTATGTATTATAATAATTAGTAAATATAATTTTAACTTATCTAATTTATTTATTTAATAATTTTTGATATAATATATAAATAATAAATTTAATTGATTATTTTATTTATATTATAAATAAGAGTGTTTATCAAATTATTTAAGAATAAAATATAAATTTAGAGATTTTATTTAATTGTTTATTAATAATTTAATTTAAATTTTAAGTTGCAATTTTAATAAATTATATATTAATATAGCTTATTATGATTTTGAGTTTAGAATTTATTAATTATTAAAATTTATAAATTTGATAAATAAGTTAAAATAATATCAATTTAAAAATAGAATAATAATATAATAATTATAATATATCTTTTGACTTTATTTATTAATTAATTATTAACTTATTATAAAATAATATTAAAATATAGATATTAAAATTTCAATCTATTATTTTTATTTAATATTATTGATTAATTTTTAAATTTACTAATACAATGTGTAATAAAAAAACTGGATATTTTATTTTTGGTTATATTTAATGAATATTTATTTAATTCATATAAAATTTTAATATATATGCTTGATAACCTAGTGAGAAAGTTTACATAAAAGTATTTAATAGTTTATCTTAATAAAATTTTTCATACTTAATATTTTTTATTAAATTCTTTTTTGAAAAAATTGATTATAAAAAATTTAAAATACTTTTTTAATCTTTTTTTATTTGTTATTTAATGAATATTTATTTAAATTATAAATATATATACTTGATAATCTAGTAAATAAGTTTATTTAAGATTAATTTACAAAATAATAATCAAATTTATTTATAATAATTTATTTAAGTTTTCTTATTATTAAAAATACTTAATTTTAAAAATATAACTTATAAAAAATTTTAATAAGATAAGTATTCAAGTAGTCTTAAATAAAATTATTTATCATACTCTCAAGTATATATATTTAAATTTTTATATTATTTAAATAAATATTTATGAAGAAAATTAAAATATCCAGTTTTTTTGTTATATACTGTAATTAAGTTATTAAACATTAAAAAATATAATAATTTATTAGTATTAATAACTAAATATAATATTTTATTATAAATTTCTTTTTTTTAAATATAAATTCTTTATAAAATACATTTATAAAGAGAATATATTTATATATTATATAAATTTAAATCTTTTTTACATTAATTATAATATTTATTTTAAGTATATAGATATATATATAATTATATATTTTATAGTATTATATAATATATTACAAAAAAATCATAATTTTTAATTTTTTTTATAAATATTTATTTAAATAATATAAAAATTTAAATATATATACTTGAGAATATGATAAATAACTTTATTTAAGACTACTTAAACACTTAGCTTATTAAAATTTTTTATAATTTATATTTTTAAAATTAAGAATTTTTAATAATAAGAAAATTTAAATAAATTATTATAAATAAATTTGATTATTATTTTGCAAATTAATCTTAAATAAACTTATTTACTAGATTATTAAGTATATATATATTTAAAATTTTGTATAATTTAAAGATTAAAGAAGTATTTTAAATTTTTTATAATCAATTTTTTCAAAAAAAATTTAATAAAAAAATTTTATTATGAAAAATTTTATTAAGTCAAGCTATTAAATACTTTTAAGTAAACTTTTTCACTAGATTATCAAGTATATATATTTACAATTTTATATGAATTAATTATTAAATATAATAATTATAGTTTTTTTGTAATGCACTGTAAAATAAATATTTTGATTATAATATTCAAATAATATAAGTATTTATATTTATATTCTTTAATATCTAGAGAATAAGTTATTTAAGATCATAAAGTTAGTATAATTTTTTATAAATTTACACTTTTATATTCAAATAAAAATTTTTAAAAAATTAATTAAAATCATTTTAATAACTTATTATATAATTAGCTTAAAGTAATTTATGTATTATAAAGAAATCTCATTAAATTTTTATAAATTTCAATTTATATTATTGTATGTTAAAATATAATATAATTTAAATTATTTTTTATAATTGTGAATTTAATATTTTTATTCTTAAAAATCATATATTAATTGAAATTGCAAGTTTGATTTTTTAACTATTTTTAGTTTATGAAATATTTTACTAAGATTTTTTATTATATAATTATAAATAAACTTGTTCTCTAAGTATTAATGAACATATATACAAATATTTATATTATTTAAATAATTATTTAATTATTATAATCAAAAAAATAACTGCCATTTTTTTGCTCATTACTATACGTATATTACTTATCTATAAAACTATAAAAAATGATAAAAACAAGAATTTCATGCAATTAAATGCATCATAAAGCGCTATACAATTTTTAATGTTAGATTGTCCTATATATATGTGTGTATTCCTTAATACATGTAAATTAAAGAACAGAGTACATGTAGAAGATTTTCTATGCCATATAATTATCTCTTAACATTAATAATACCCAAGTTAGAACTGTATTACCCAGATCGGATCGGTAGCCATACGTGTCTGGTCATTATTATCTTCCATTGGTGAGAGCCAGCGATCAATCAATGAGCTCGAAAGAAGTTCAGGATGTTTGATCACTTAAGAAAATATACAGTCTCCGGTTATTTGGTAGATCCTGTCAAAAACGAACCGCTAAGTAAAATGTAATTTGTATTGGATTTTTGCATAAGATAATCATAGCTCGGATCATGAGAATCGGCTACATACAATCCCTGGTGAAAGTAATGGCGGTAAAAGCTGGTTTTATAAATTTCTAAAAAACGAATGCAAAAGTTTTATACTATTAATAAAATATGCTTATCGGTCAATTTTCTATATACTTATTATTGTGATATTAATTTTACAATAGCTATCACAGGATATACATTATAATTTTTTAACGTTATTAGGTTTGTTTGAAAGTTCAAAACCTAAGGAATATTAATATATCATTTTTTTATTAATTAATCACCAAAATATTGATTTATCAATTCTTAAACTTGTTCTTTATTCAAAAAATTTTAAATAACTTCACAAAGTTAACTTTGAACTCTTATAAAAACATGAGAAATTAATTTCAAATTTTGGTTTTTTTATATGTTATACTTTTGGTATTTAGCTATTTTTTAAAAAAATTTGCCCAAATTAATAAGTAAACAATTGTGTAATTAACAAAAACTGACCGCCATTACTTTCGCCGGGGACTATATCTATGTAGTCGTACGTTATGTAAAATATACAGTGAAATGAATATGTACAACGAAAAATCGACGGAATTATAGTTAGACCCCGCTATACCAAACATCCATTATGTCGAATTTTATATTTCGGATGCAGAAAAATGTGACTTTAAAAGTTTATCACTGCATAACGATAGAGGTCGAATTTCTTGATACTGGGAAAAGCTGATTCAATCTTTTACACATCGATATGTAATTCAAAAGTTTACACATGTAAAAATCCTGCAAAAACGATACTATACAAATTTTTACGAAAGTACATGTAATAAATTTTGTATATCGTTGTTTTTGTACATGAATTACAGAATCCATTTCATTGTACGCATATACAGGGTGTAGAAATACTTTATGCGACGTATTATTATTATTTGTCCACAGAAGTCTGATAACTTGTTTTGAGTTCATTCCTTGACTAAACAATTAAGTTTTAAAATTCAATGTAAGGACCAATTGACTAATTTCCACCGACTGGATTTGTAATGGATGCATTCATTAATTAAATTAGAATATAAATGCTGCAGAATAAATGACTTTAATCCCCTGACCTGATTTATTATCGCTAACTGATACATGTACATGCCTAAAGTTGCTGGCTGTAAATAAGGAGTTGTACTTCACAAGATTACAACCCTGGCTGCAATCATATTTTTCCAAATTCCCACACTTGATATTAAAAAATTATACGAGGCGCAACCGATAAAGCTGCAAACAAGATTATAAACTCGCTAAAAGTCCCTCTCAAAAACATTTACGACCAGTTTTAAACATGCTTTTCAAAAATATGGTATGCATTATTTATTTATTAGCATGATTTTTTATACATGTAAATAGAAACTTTTATGATTGATTGGATTAATGTTAATGAATTATTAAATTTGCATGCACATATACTGAAACACGTATGTAAAACAAAAATATTAATCTTTACATAATGATAAGACAAGGAATCATTTTTTTTTCAAACATTAATTACTTACACAGCAAAATATGAAGGGAGTTAACTTAACGCTTTTTACGAGGCCTGAACTTCATTGTGTATATTTATTTTGTTTACTTTTTGCGGCAACTAGCACTAACTATAAATCTAACAACAAATGAATATATAAATAATCCCATTGTCTACAAATTTTTTCGAAAAAAATCAAAGTTTCATTTCCTGAACATAATCAATCATATCATAACGTTAATAATCAATTATCTCTTAACATAATCAATCAATCATATCTTAACATAATCAACATGTACAATTTAAAAATTTTCGTTATCGCTTTATTTACTCTATTTATTTTGGCGACCGTCTTCGCAATTCCACCTCCTCACGACGTCAAGAGAGATCTTTCCTTCCAACTATCTAATCCATCTAGTCTACCTACTGCACCTGCTCTATATCCACCTACTTTAGGAGTTACTGCGACAAATTAATCTCAACAAGCGGGAAAATTATCAATTAACATTACATGAATAAAGATTTCTATCAATGTCCTGTTTATTTGATCAGTTATTGCATTGAATAAATGAATATCTAGTTTCAAATCATTTTATTCCTTAATAAATTTTAAATTGGTATTTTTCTTTTTAATTTTATTTCATCTCAGCATTCTCCATACTAAGCACATGTCAATAATAGATAGAACTTTGATATTTACAATAAACAAACATATATTTGCTGAATATTTTAAAAAAATAATTACGTAATACATGTATACATGTACATGTAGTAATTTATCATCTAATTACATGAATATGTATGAATCGTGTGTACTTGATGCGAAACTCAAATAAGACAAGCCTCGTAGTATTTCCATGAATTACGCTTGGATATTGCGTAATTCTGCATGAATTTTAAAAAATCGGGATTATCCTATAGATTTGATAAATTGTGATTCAAAGATGTTGACATCTTCAAAGGAAAAATTTAAGCGTGTATTACACATAAATTATCAAAACTTAACGTTAAAACAGATTAAAGGCGCTAACATTAATAAACAGTACAATTTATTGGATAAATGCATAAATTTAAGTATTTGATTTGATGCTATTCGCTTTAAAAATTATATTATAAAATATTTGTTACTGGAAAAATCAAATGCTTTTAATAAATGGTTGAAATAATTGATAGTGTTTAATCAGGATATTGTTCATCGACATCAAAGTATCAGAATGAAAAATGTCTAGCAGGTAAATTTGCCTGCTGCGAACTTACCAAATATTATTGAGTTTGGTAAAATGTAAAAAAGTTTTATTTTATAAATTGATGAAACACACATCAAAGTATATTGTTGAAATTAAATTAAAGTTTATTAAAGCGTTTTAAAAATAATATTAATTTAATATTTCTATAATAAATAAGTTACTTCTATTACTAATAAGTTTCAAAAAAGCTTGTATTTAAATCATAAAAACTGCATAAAGTTATTCTTTATAGTAAATTTCATCTTATTACATTTATTTAAATCATTCGGTTTAATAAAATAATCCGTTTTTAATGATGTATAAAGTGCTATATTATCAATTTCTTGTATAGTACGTCGATTTTGATATGTTTGCAGTGTTTTTTGCATAAAAATTTCAGATTATCCATATGTATACAGTGTTTTCATCTGTACAAATGAGAATTTTAAAAGTTTAAAAATTGTATCATACAATAATAAGCTTTAAATCCGACAATATTAGTTATCAAATTTTTATAATCAGGCTAGTATAATAAAATTAATAAACTCATCATCTATAGTAAGTACGTGCACGTTCCATAAATAAATACCATATAAAAATAATTTATTCTAATAAAGAAATTATGCTTTAAAGTTTCCATAGAAAAGAATGCTTTATGAAGCGCCATAAAATAAATAAGGAAATATGCGAGAAATTTGTCATATACAGTAGGTATGCTTTACAAAGCATCAGATTTTCGTACATGTATATTTTTATATATTTATAGATGTAAATCGGAAATTAAGACATTCATTTTTGAAAGTATAATATACAGTATGTATATTATATATTAAACAATGCTTCAAACGTTTTAACGTAAAATTTAAAGATATATCGATATAAAGGTTAAAGTTCAATTTTATCCCTTTTCTTCATGGATAGCTTAGGAAATCAAAATTGATCTCAACGTTAATCAGTAAGGTCAATACATGTCTACAGAGTTATTAGATAACTAAAAAAAATAAATTGAATTTAATTAATATCGATATACAGTTTTATTTCAATTGCACAGCGAAAATACAACGATAACAAATAAATTTATTGCTTGTTTCAAAAAATAATCTGAATGAGTATACTATTTCAAATCTTATTGCGTAATCACTCCTCAGATGCAGAAAGAATATGAATTAAAACTTGAGACTGTACAACGATAGAGGTCAATTTCTTGTTTAGTTGGGAAAGATGTTTGTTTTTTTGATATACATGTACATATACATGTATTTATAGGCATCAATTTCATATTGCGCTTCCATGTACATGTATGCGAACTATACAAGGATCACCCCATGCATGCTACACAAATTTTATACGGGGTCCCTAAGCAATGATTTGTGCAATAAATCTTCGTTTTTATAACAGTTAAAGATTCAGTGCAAGGGGCTAATTTTTTCCATTAACTGAAATCCATCCACAAGGATGAGAGTATAAAACAGGTAAACTTAGATACAGGCATTCAAATGTATTATTAATTAAATACAGCATCATTATTTAACCTCCTGGTCCATACTTTTACATATTATTGTTTTACAGAAACTAGCACATTCCTAAATGCGTAAATAAATGTACTTGAATGTGTTGCAACTCAAGAGATTACAACAAGGGTTGTAACTTTGGAGCCTCTTTACGACCAGCAGCTTATACACATGCTTTTCAAATATGCTTTACGTTTATTTATCTTATGTACTGTACTTCTTTTATCAAAAAACGTTGATGAATATATTTTCCTATTTTAGTAGTCAGAAAACAAATTACATGTACATGTATACTTTATTGGGTTGAATGCAACATACCTGTATAATATGCATATTAGTTGTTCTGGCCCATGAAATAACTGAATCATCAAATAGAACGATTCTTTCAAACAAGAACTACACCAATCGTTATCGTTATTACACAGGAAAGTTCGCTTTAACGAAGGCTCACTTTGAACAATTTAAAGATATGATTAAAAATATCAACAATTAACAAAATTTTTAATGAGAGCAAGGCCCTTCATTAAAGTGAACTTTACTGTGTTTCATTATTTAATCACTCTTATATGCGTCAATTATGTTATAAACAAAACAAAATTGTATTTATAAGTAGTCGTTTCCTATATAATTTTTCAAAAAAATCTAACCAACAGGAATTCAATATATAAGCAGTCGCTTCCTATCAATAATTTTCAAAAAATTTAGACTTTAATTGCTTAGTATAATCATCATGTATAATTCGAAAATCTCTTTCATCGTTTTACTTATTCTATCAACTTTCGCGACAACTTACGCAATTCCGCTTCTTCCAACTGGTGTTTCAATGACAGCAAATGGACTTGGAGCTACCACTGGTACCATTGTTGCCACTGGTGGCGAATTACCCCTCGCTGAACTCACTGGTACTATTAACAGTGGATCATAAAAATGTTCTTAAGACATAAAAACGAATTTATCTATAGGAGGATCGGACAATAATTCATGGATGAAGAATTTCTATCACTGAATTTCAATAAAAAATTTAATATCTACAAATTTAATCATTTAAATATAAAAAAAGTATTATACATGTACTTAGTGTTACCTATTTAAATATTGTTTTTTTATTTTCTTTTCTCATTGAAACATAATATTAACCTGATATTTACAATAAATATATCGATACTGTGTTTGTATACTTTCCAAGAAAAATACGAGTTCATAAATTTCATTTATAACTCCATATACGTGGTATAAAAATGTATCGATATTTGACAAGCGTCGTATACGAAATTTTGATGCTTAAAATTTTCCCAATAGACATAAGAACAGTGTATGTCCCAATCCACTATTTTTGCAAAAACTTGTGCGATTCCGAAAACTGAACTTCTAATGGGACCTTCGATATATAATAATAATAACGGAATTATTAAATTTGACGATGATCTTGTGAACCTGAAGATGTTGACGCTTTCAAAAAATCAAAGCCTTCATTTGTGCTAGATGATATCATAGTATAAACAGGCTTATTCCCAACAAATTGACTAATAAAAAATATTTAGGGCTCTTAAGGTATTTCAAAATTCGAAAGAGCGTTTCATATAGTCAGAATATAGAATATCCGGATTGAATCCTTGGAGAATCTTATGAAATTATTGAGAAAATCAACTATAAATAGAAGCTTTTTACGAGGTTGTTTATCGGAAATGTGTAACGTGACTTTGATAGCAGATAAAGTTAATCCAACAACCATAATAATTGGTAAAATTGAAGTAGTACTAAGAAATAGGAACAACCGAAGAAGCGGCAGTAGAAGCAATGGTAATAGTATTCCTATTATTTTCATCTCTGTAATTTGATAATCCCGTAGCTGGCAAAGGAGTTTCCGCTTCTGATTCTTTATCTGATCCTTGTAATTAAAATTACGTGAATAGTATAAGCTTAAAATAAAATGTTTCTGTGAAAATTTTTTATTAATAATTCTTTATGTTCGTGATTAAGAGTGACTTTGTTAAATTTTGCGGAAGCATAAAAACTTGTAAAACCAACTGCAATTATTTCAAAACTAGCTTAACTCCATCAACAATACAAACATTCGTAATTTACCAAAAGATAATAATGAATATTCAACAATAATATTCAACAATAATTGATCGTCTCCATGTTGGAGATCTAATGAATACATATCTGAGGTGATGAGTTAATTTACAAGCAACTGAACCAGAAGTAACATCTCATAAAGTCATAATATCATTTAATAATTTTTATATTATATCTAATGCAAAAAGAGGAGATTTTAATCTTAATAAGAATTTTTTAAATGAATTAAAAACTATAACAAAAAATATATAGAACAAATCTTGTATCAAAATTTCAATAACATATTGATGATTTTTTACAGCGAAATAAATTTTGTAAATTAACCCGCTAATCCGGTTATAACGATAATTATTATCTCCAGTTTAAAAAGTTAATCCGAAGATCCCGTTAAACTGAAGAAAAAATAACTTCGATTTAACGGGGTTGCCTTAACTGTAGTACATGTAATTACATGTATTCCAGTCCCTGCAAAAAATAAATGCATGCATACATGGCTAGTCAAATAATCAGTGATTTTGAATGTTTCAAACAAGAACTACACCAATCGTTATCGTTACTACACAGAAAAGTTCACTTTAACAATATACGTTCGCTTCATAAAGTTGAATTTTACCATGTTTCGTTATTTGATTATTCTTCTTTACGTCAATTATGAATATATAAGTAGTCGCTTCCTATAAACTTTTTTCAAAAGAATCATACAAACAAAAATTGAATATATAAGCAGTTGCTTCTTATATAATTTCAAAGGTTCAAACCAAAAAATTTTATTACTTAATATCATTATAATGAATTATTCGAAATTTCCTTTATCGTTTTACTTATTCTATCAATTTTTGAAACAGCCTTCGCAATTCCGGCCCTCTCACCCTTACCAGATCCTACTTTAACGACAAACTTAATGGTGTTATGAATAAGATATTACCCTTATTACCACTGGATAATTCCTCCTTCAGTAGTTCTTAAGAAGACTAGTATTTTTTCTAAGACAAACAGATTTTTTTACAGCAGAAACGAACAATTATCCATGAATGCAGATTTCTATCAATGTCGTTTCAAGAATACTTTAATGTCAAACACTTAACGTTAATCATTTAAATGTATATAAGATATACTTAGTGTTAACTATTCTATATTTTTTATTTTCTTTTCTCATTGAAATATTATTCTATATAATAATAGTAGTAGTATAGATATTTACAATAAATATACGATGCTTTACTGTGTATTTTCCAAGAAAATTATACGTTTCATAAATAATCGTTAACTAAGTTCCCATATATGTACGTAAAAGAAATGCATTGGCATTTACGTGTGAAGCTCTTTGAAGAACGCTTTTCAAGAACGAACGATGTAAAATTTGATGCATGAAATTTGTTCAATAAACAGAGTAGTATGTCTAATCCACTGTATTTGCAAGAATTTTTGTGATTCCGGGTGCTAACTTATTACTTTCGATAATAAATACGATTAACCTCGAAGAAGTTGACGCTTTTAGTGCAAAATTTTTATTGAATATTGTATAATTTATAAATTAATAGATTAAATTAATCATAATTTCAACAAGTAGGAAATTGATATTTCTTACAATATCAAATGCAAACCAAAAGATAAGGCAATTAATTTAGAACAATAGAAAAGTATTTAGGACCCAATGCGTATCATAAATTCTAAATTATCTGGTTCGTATCCTGTTGTGGATTTGAAATTATTGAGAGAAATAGAGAAGCAACAGAAATTGTTTTATATCTGAGAAGCTCATAAATGCGTGACTTTGATAGCAGATAAAAATGAATCAATAATACATGTAATTGGTAAAAGTTGAGTAATAAAGTTATAATTAAATTATAAGGAAAATGGGTACTATGCCATAGAAAAGAGAATATGTAATTTTCACCATCTAAGCAAATGGTAGTATTTTCATGCGCATCCCTCTTTCAAAAAATTACCATTTTAAAATTTACACACAAACCGATTATTTTCCTTTTTATTATTTATCATTGTATTTTTTACTAGTCTTAATTAGAATAGAATTTATTTTTTTGGCTATAAATTCTAAGGAATCATATTACTGATAACACAAGTTTGTATGTATTTCCATAATTGATCAGTGATAGAGCAGTTGGTCTGTTTTCAAATTTTTCAATATTAAATTTTTGAGAATATTATTTGTTCGTTGCTCTTTATACATGTCTAATACGAGATGTTTATCAAAAACTTCGTTCATAAAATGATCTACTATTTCACACATAACGATAAAAGATCTATTGTATGACGTAGTATTTCTTGATTTTTATATCTGCTGGTCGACCAACGAAAGCATCAATAGACAACAATATATTTCCAGGGTGAAATTCAAAGTTCTTCTTTTAGAACATAAATGATAAACATAAAATAGCTTAATTTTTCTCACCAAGTCAATTCTTCGTAGTTGGAACTAATGTATTTGTGAGCGTCAAAGTGACATCATACACATTTAGATCGTTCAAATTTTATTTTTTTCATGATCCCACTTGTAAGAGTATAGCAATGCTTTATAAATGCCTTTGGCAAGACATTCAACATTGGTAAATTTTTCAAAAGGGATCCATTGTAATTACATTCTGATTTTCACGTATTCTTTTATTAACTACCAATATGCATTCTTTTTGAATAATCAAAGAAAAAATAGTAACGAAATCGATAAAAAATGTCGAATATTGAAGTGTTTTGTTTCGTCTATATATAGAAATTAGCGCTTGTTAATTTGACATCGATATCTATATCACATTCAGTAGTCACATACGCTAGAGTTGCACGCGAAACAAATATTTAATGTGTACTTGTATGTTACTGAAAAATATGGTTCAAGCTAAATATTCACCTTGACTATACATTTTATTTGGTTCTTCCGAAACATTTTCAATGAGGCGTTTATTATTTGTTTTATGATCTTTGAAATTTAGTTTTTTAGAAAGATAAATGCCATCATCGTTGTCGAAACATAAATTAAAATTGGGGACTTTAAATGACGTTCAAAATTTCGACAAATCCCGAAATCGGGATAATTCTGTATTCCATGCATATACCGAACATGCATGTACTTTCGGGATTTCGCGCATGCAGGGATGCCCGTTCATTCGGGATTTCGGTTGTCGGACTTGGGATTTCGTACCAGACCCAATAGGAATTGCATGTACAACTATCTCTTGCATTATTATTAGAGAGTAATCGGGTCTAATTTATTCTTTTTATCTTGTAATACAATTTTATGGTGTGGTAGGAATTGGGCTTAATCGTATATTATTCTATATTGATTTAATTTCCATAAGTTTTGAACATGTACATGTATCGATATGCTAATTAATTATATTTACTTTTGTTACGCTTACTGGCATTACTTTGCATAAAAGAAGTTCATAAATAGTTTTAAAGATTTCCTTATATAAATTGAACATATGTACGTATCTTGTGGCGTCCCATCATGGTCCACTCACATTTTCATTATTATAATTAGTATTTTTTTTGTTTGTATTGAAAGAATTCGGAAAGATCAAAGCAGACGAGGAGATCGGAACATAATCGAGCTCATTTCCTTCCGATTCATCTAAAAAATTATTCAGTTCTAAATCATTATCATGACTCCATTGTTTTCTGTAACGATTTTCTTCGGATGCATTTAGTGTGGTGGTGGTGGTGGTGTTGGTAATATAATGGGTTGGCATTGGATTTTCATCTGATATTAACATCCATGGATGTATCGCTCTATTAGATGAGGACGATGATGCAAGCGTGGGTGATGGTATGTGTGGTAGTGATGTTGTTAGTATATCACGATTATGATTTTCATTGGTTTTCACAAAATTATTTTTGTTTTCTTCGAATTTTTGTTGGATTTTTAATTGGTATTCGTATTCTCTATTCATATTATTTACATTTTCGTCGGGACTAGTGTCTAATGTTTTAATATATGGTATATCAAAATATTTTTCTTTACGTGTGGCTGTTGGCATTGCATTTATCTGTCGAGGTAGCCGTTCGTTTCCAAATGAATTCTCACGTGAAGATTCCTTGATTTTCGGTGCGCTCACGCATCTTATGATTATCTGATACTTGAGCCGTTCAAGGAAAGTTGGCTCCCACATTGATGATTGTCGTCGCTTCATGATGCTAGAGAACACGTCGTTTTTGTTTTCGTGTTGCTCGATGCAGATATCCCCCGGTGAATTCTTCACCGTGCTGATTGTTGACAGTTCAATGTCGGAATTTTTTTTCTTGTGACAAGATGCACGGTGTGGATATCTTGATTCATATTCATTGACATATTTGCGCCATAAATATATTCTCAACGCGAAGCGTCCACGTGACACCGCAACATCTTGTGCGAAAACAATGGCATTCAACAACCCTATAATTCATTAATTGAAGACTATTAGCTTTGCATAAAGAGATAATGGATACTTCAACTTGAGAGATAGTAATAACCTTGGATGGCGCATCCAATAAAACTGATAAACAACAACTCATAAAACATTTGATGTCGCGAAAACGCAATTGTTTCCACCAAAAATTTTGGGGTTTGTGTGATGAACGGAATGATCGGATACAGAGTCACTTTACGGGCCACTACTGAGATCAATTTATCCGGCGTCTTCGGTCGGGTATGTTTGAATCCGATCAGTGATGGAGTTGTGAGTGAGATCGAGTCGATGGACGTGGTTTTCGGCGAAGAATTCGCTCGCTTGCGTTTTCGAAGTTTGATTATGACAACGATTAATACTCCCGTGCAATACAGAATGGATAGTCCTATCCATAAAGATAGCGTTGCCCATTGCCAGACTATATCGATTAATTGCCCGGAATGGCGATAAAAACAGGTTCTTTCGATTTGATTGACAGTTATTAGCAAGAAATTATTGCTGCAAATTGTAGAAGAAATTGATCAATTACTTACCTCTCTGGAGCATCCCACCCATACATCTGATCAATTAACGGTAAGAGCGATAATAGGAATGCAAAAATTATTGCGCCACAAATATAATATCTTTCTAAATTTCGTTTCCCTTTATATTTGTGTATAAACAGAACTTGAAGATGCTATTTGTTGAAACAAAAAAAAAATTATTTAATATATATAATTCAAATCCTAAGTGAACTTGAAGACATCAGAAAATACTTACAATTGCAATACAATCCGAAAAGAATATGGAAAGTAAAGCGAAAAACACATATGCCCAAACCTTTTTCCCATGATCTTAATCAGTGATTTGTATGGTATTAAAATGAAAGATAGAAAACAATGATTCATTAAAACACTCACGGTGAATCCACAAGAAATTCCCGGATGTCTTATGTTCAAGCCGATGACTTGAGTCAGAGAATAAAAAAGATCCGCAGTGCATATCAACACTCCCAATCGAAAAGTGGCTCGATCAGACACCCCCGGATAATATTTTTTCATAATAAAGTATATAACGATCACTAGTACGCTGGCGAGGATTGAAAATATCAGTACCAAGAGAGTCACAAAGGCCATCGTGGCATATTGTTCATCGGTAATTGGTGAGATGGTTGGCAAAGTGTCATTTGATATCGAAGTATTTGTTGCAGTGGTGTCTATTACACCTATGGATTCTAGGAATAAATGCATTGAAAGAATCAAATATCGATATTGTTTTCATGAAAGTGAGGAAAAAAATGAAATCAGCGGGATAAAGAAAGGGATAAATTATATAAAACTTCGTCGGCTACGAGATTCCAAAGCCGAACAATCTCATAAATAGTTTAATGGCGACCGAAAAACTTCATACCAACGCTCTGGCTACTTATTGTTATTATTACTTGTATAATAATATATGTACATGTAATTGATATGTTGTATGCGCATGTATCAGGTTTCCGCGTGTGTTGGAAATAACTGCAAACATGCATGCATTATATGCAAACATTTCATTTTTCAATGTGTATTCATGCTTCAATTGGAAATCTTTATTGACACTAGTTTGATTATTGGCCCATGATACATGTAAATAAACAAAGACACGACATCTACATCAATGGCCCCTAAAATATTACCTGAATCTAGCATTATATGTTCTGTCGATTTTTAAATCAAGATTTTTTTATTGCATGCGTGGGCACACACATTGTAGATTTATAGATCAATACAGTATATTGTTATGTATGATCTGTCCTGAAAAAATTATTTGAGGAATAAAAATTCTCCGGTTTTTCGAACTGTTGAATGTTTTCTTTTGATTTTATTCGGAGATTACATCTCTTTTAGGAGCTTTATTATTAACCTATTATTAGTAACGAAATTGCATGCGACAATTCCAAGGTATTTTATACGTGTCGTGTTAACATGTACATTTAAACGTATATTTGATATTTGAGATAAAAACATTTTTGATAATGGGATATATCGTCTGTTTGTTGTTATATTAAAAAAACCTTATTCTTCGGAATTAAATCCTTTTCATTGCGTCTTCAATAAGGAGCATTTAGGGATGTAAAATTTAATTCTGCAATGATAGATGGTGCTTTTTCTCAACCTGCATAAAATTTATTAATAGCATGAATAAGAAAATAAAGTTATTTTAAGATTGAGAGTTAATAATTACTTCTGCCACGTGAAATGTCATTATAAGTATTTTATAATATGTAATCGTCGAATCTAAACACTTTAATACACGAACATCTATCATGCTGTGTACTTAGCATTTCTTCAGTAGCTCCTATTCAATTCGGTCTAACCATTTTGGTTTACAATAAAATAATTCAATTAACAAATCAGTTTTTTTTGCTTTATAAAACAATTGAAGTTATTGTAATAAAATGTAAACATTTAAATTTTGATGGGAAGACTGCCAAATTCATTGCTTAATTTTATTATCTTAAATGTTTAAAGATTCAGAAAGACCTAATTTCAATTATTTGAGTAGTAGTTTTTTGAAAGTCAAAAAAATTTGTCATTATTAATTAATAAATGCATGAATTATTAATTAATTCTAATATCTATTAAAAATTTCTGCAAATGGTCGTTTGGTCACGTTTGAGGTGGTGATTACAACCACGTTTTATGTACATTAATGGAACACCAATAAACACAAATTCAATAAAAATAAATTTTTTTTAATCATTTTTTTTTTTTGCTTTTGCTCAAATTGCATCATGCAGGATGGGATGCGCAATTGTGAAACTGCATGTTAAACGCCAAATGCTGACATTTTATTGAATATCAATATGGGGTAATTTTAAGGCGATTTTGGGTTCCATAAATAGCAAAAATTCATCACATGAATAGTAGAACTAAGTTCTAGATTATCGACGATAAGCAAAATCAAAAAATCTGATTATCTATCGCAATCGCTATTGTCTTGTTAGAATAGTTAGGCAATTCGAATGATTAGCGTTAGCCTTTTAAAGAATTATTGTTAAGTTATGAATGGTGAAAAAAATTTCTAGGTGTTCAACACTGAATCCTTTCCATATGTACAATCGTTTTAAACCGGCCAAATCGTGAATTGAGCATTCCGGTTTGTCCTTGACCTTAGATTGAATAAAATGTAGTACACAATGCAAGGTTTCATTAAATACAGTAGATTCTTTTCATAATTTAGATATTTATAACGAAAGCTAGCAGGGTGAACAAAGTTTGGCTGTTAAAATCTTTAAGCTTATAAAACATTAACACTTCCCCTTGATTTATATCGATATTGTCTTTAAAAAAATATACAAATTGCAGTACACATTCCTTTAATTATGACATAGCAATAAAATCCTAATTGGCAATTCTATAAATTCTTGATTTTCCTTTGTATGGCGTCAACAATCATCGGATCTTTTATCGTGGAACTTTCTGTTTCTTCCTGCAGATTCTTAATAGCTGCAATATGTATGCAACAAGATTTTACGTGTGAAACTCATCGGGTTGACGATGTGCATGTATCACTTTTAAGCATTTCGGGTTATCCTTATGCAAAATGACGATAAATATTGTTGTTCATAATTAACATGATTGGCGAACGAATTCAAAACCATTTTCTCGAAAATATTTAATCATCGTCCCACAAATTCATAGCCAATTAATTTCGAGAAGTTTATAGAGCCAATCAGAAAGGTAAAGAACTATTTGTTTAAGATAAGTATGTAATGTCTTCTTAGATAAGCACGCTTACTTTAAGAATTTACACTAATCCATTTGAAAATATTAAAATAACATCGTGTCAAATCTGAATCAATTACATGTTAGATGGAATGCATATTTATACGATTAAAGTTATATTCATAAAACGTGCCTTATTAAAAATCATATTATATAGATGAAAAGACTTTGAAAGATGATCCATGTATTACTCTAATACGGTAACTGTAAAGTGATAACAATAACATATAAAATAAATAAAAATAATTATATTTCTATTCTAATTAATAGATATGTATCTTCTTGAAATTTCGGGATATCCTATATCTGTTTTGCAATACGAATTTTAGTTGTTGAAAAAAATAGATCCTTTGATTATCAAGATTACATCATAACTTGTGTCCTAAATGAATCAAAGTATGACTAAATATTTGTATATATAATTTTATTATAACCCTAATCCATCCACCACACCTGAGAGAAAACATGATTTTTGATTGTAATATGTGAGGTGAGTTTATTATAGTTATAATTAACAAATGATATAAGCCCGTGAGCAACGTGAACCCACCCATCCACCAAATATTAGCTATTTAACCCAACTGGTTCCAAAGTTAATTTCAATTTAACAAGGTTTTGTTAATGATATCGAGGTTACGCTTCTGTATCACATCGACATTGGCATTAATAGCTGGATTTTAGATTAGGAGGTCTCTTTTTAACATCTTGAATAAGCAGAATTACGAAGACTACCGCGAAAGTCAATAAGTAAAGCAATAAAGGAACTCTTGAATTATACATGATCAAGTAATGAAGTCTTGTTTATTTGAAAATGTTTAGGCTATTTATATATAAATCTTTATGAGGTTGTCTAGCATTTTCACAGTTCAACTCAATCTTCACTGCCTGAGGTAGTCGCATAGCCACTTAGAAAACCCAGTGATTTTATTACATGTAGTTCACATGCTTATCATACAAGTATGTAATGTATTTATACGATTAGAATAGGAAAAGATTATCCATATTACATGTAGTCCAATTACATGTACTATCTTAAAAAAGAAAAATAAAAGAATCATTATATTAACTAAAGAGGCATAACCTACTTTCATGTAATATTTGTAAAACGATAACAATAATATGTAAGGAGAAAACTATGTGCCTATCCTAATTTAATCAGTTCTCAATTAATACGAATTATAAGTGATGAAAAAGATTAGCCATTTGACTTTATTAAGATTATAAATGACATCATCTATTAAACTAGTTGGTTTAGAGGAATTGTCATTAGGATCTCTTTAAAGAGGAATGGTATTTCGAGTTTAATTATGGTATAAAAATTTAAAATTTATTCAAAAGTAATTTTTTCGAAATATACTTCTCTAGCAATATTATTTATATTTTTTAATCTTTAAATATTTTAAGGTAAAATATTTTAGATACAAAATAAAATTGGTAATGTTAACGATTTATACCATAAATAAGATTTGCTTTACTTTCTAGAGGACATATTAATTGAATTTAATTATTGTTAATTTTGGTGTGGCTTCACAGGTCGAACAAGGTAGGTTTCTTTGGCTAGTAAAATATGGATGATATCAGGGTATAATATTAGTAAATCTAGCTGCAAAATATGGACAAAAAATTGCATTTCTGACTATTATTTTTACAATTTGAATCTATGTGTTAGACTTTATGGCCTTTATGCGGTCGATAGGTATACACAGGATATACGGGCTGTCAAGATTATACCTAAAATTGTACTCTGAGTATTTTTTTTAGTCGATCAGTCTGGGTTTGCTTAAAAGAAACTCGAAATATTGACTATTTTTGTTTTTTCGGTACAAAATTTGGATCGCCGATCTAAAAATGATTGGTTGACATAAAAGTTTCACGTGACTTTGTTGTTTACTTTTGAGCAAAAACAAGAGGTAAATTGTAATTTTGTAATTTTATTATTTAATCCCTAGTTTACCCAAGGTGACAGCCTTGGTGCCAGTAAGATATCGACAACTGGAATTGCAGAGGTTGCTGCGAAAATATGATGATTATTAAAAATAAAGATATAAATTAAAAATTATAAGAGTACACCCTGATAATTTTTATTTATTTAAAAAATGCGTATTATGTTGCTGATTACTTGTTAAATTAGTGACGGTCAAAATCCCAAAGAACACAATCCCGAACGTTCATAAGCTAACAGCATCCTGAAACGACATTCCGAAAGATTGAAATTTCGAATGGTCGAAATCCCGACATTCCGAATGCACGAATCCCAAAATCGTGATAATTTTAGGTAGTCCATACATTTGGATACATCTACTATACTTTTGGGATTTCGATCGTTTGGGTTTATGAAACGTTCAGAATTTTGTTGTTCCGGATTTCATACCAGACCTGACGTTATTAATCTATACAATCGTTTATTTATCGATTAAGGCAATCTAACAGTCACAAAATTTAACGAGGATGGATTTGCCCAAAAATGGCCATTAAATCACGGT